TGTTCACTGGATATAGTAGAATTCTAGCCAACATTAAGCCAAAAATAAGTGAAAGCCAAGACTGAATTCCAGAGTGTGGATGGAAGGAGATTAGTAAGTGGTCAGAAAGAGGAAACAAAAAGTAAAAGTATTTTGGGAGAGCACTGATTTTATATGACTCCCAAAGTCATCATCGGAGGGGAAAAACATGGAGAATCAAGCAAGGGAAGTTTAATGGGCCAGGAAGTGGAATACATAGCTTAGCCTATGTTCCCCTGGCCAGAATTCAGTCACAAGCAAGAACTTAACAGGAAGAACTGGGGTCAATGGGCATGGGCGCACCATCAGTTAAGAAAATTAGATCTAGACAATCTTTGTATGTGTTCTAGATGATGGAAGATTAAACAAAATCACAAACAATCAAGAAAACAATAAAAGAAACAATAAAACAAAGTCTTAAAAAAACAATAAAAGAAAGTTTTATTTTCATTAGCAGCTGGCCAAAACAGAGTTGGCAAATAACTATAGGGCTGTTGTTGATAAGGGCAGTATCAGAAACAAGACACCAAGGCATCATGGGAGGGGAGATGAGTCCCAACGATGAAATCAAGGAAGTAGTATTAGAACGGGACTGAAAAGGACAACTGGTGCTTTGGAATTTCCATCTCTATGGAGGCCATCTGTATAGAAACAGAGATGAGCTGTTTCCAGATGTGCAATGAAGAAATAACAAACTGCTTGGGAGGTTTGGAGTAGAGAGGATCAATATTCAAAAACAGTTAGGGAGCCTGATAAAGCAGACTAGATGAATTGGCTTCCAAGTGTAACACTGGCAAAAATAGGCATAGAGTGAAATTTGCTAGAATATATAATTTCTTTTAACAAAAGATCTTTTCAATTTTATAGTTTCAAAACTCAGTGGTCCATATTTGATTTATTAAATGTGTGTGTGTGTGTGTTGGGGGGAGTATTCTATTAAAATTATTTTAAGTCAATTTAATGAATGTCAATTTGTAAAACATAATTTCCCCCTCAATATCACAATATATGTGTATGCATTTCATTATAAATTCCAAATAAAATTTAATGAAAAGATCTTGAAAAAGGGTTAGAAACAGAAATAGATATATAGATTTATACATTTATAGATATAGATAAACTACCAAAGCAGCATGCTCACTTTTCTTAGTGTCACATTCCAAGTGGATTTAGACCTGGTGCCAAAGAATCATATCTATCAACTTACTATGCATTTGAATAGGAGATTTATGTGGGAAATACGAGGCAGAGTTTAACTGAATATGTACCAAGCAAATTAATAATACTTTAACATACAGAACTTGTGCTCTTGCAAACTTATACATAAAAAAAGACTTCATATATGGACTCATGATTTATTTCTTTTCCATTATAATTTGGAAAGTTCAAGATACCAAAAATTTCAGATGTAATGAATATAATACTAAGTCAGCAAACTTTAATAATACTCAAAACAAAAGCTTACTATGCTTACGTGTCAGAAACTGCATGCATTAACTTATTTAATACTTAGAATAACTCTATGAAGTACATGTTTTTACAGTGGAAGAAAATGAAGCACAGAAACATTTGAAAACCTCTCCAAGGTTATACAAATAATAAATGGTGTAATCCATTATTTATACATATTAAGTTTCCCCAGAATCTGTGGTCTTTATCTCTGTGTCAAACAACCTCCCATAATATAAAGATATTTTTACGTTAAAACATGTTTTCAACAATCCTTTTTTTCTTTAAAATTTTCATTGTACTATAGCATTTATTATTTTATCCTCTTGGGAAACAAAGCAAATGTTTTCCCTTATTTATCTATATCAGATATTAAAAGTCATGAAGTAAGTTTCATCTCTATCATATGAAGCTCACTCTATTTTTTTTTTTTTTTTAGCCCAAAGACCAATCTGGAATGTATAAAAAGAAAACTGTAAATGGAACGCCACTGGGTCTTGCTAGCATTACAATAGTTATAACCAGGAAACAATGCTGAGGACACCGTGTTTCTTGCCAGGTCCTAGCACAATTGGCTACCAGAGGTCCTGTAGAGTAAGTGTTACAGTCCTGTCTCTGCACAAACTCACTTTTTTGGCTAATGAATGACATTCAAGCAAGCAGAGGATTGATTCTTGAGACAGCTGCCTGAATTCTAATACTAGATTTCTATCCATACCAATACAGTCTTTAACTGATCTGCTAGACTACTTTCACAAATAGACAAAGAGACAAAAGGACTGACAGTTACAAGTGAATAATACACATGTTCACTAAACAAATAATTTTTCTGTGTGACACACAGTGCTATGGATATTCAGTGCTCATACCGAACCCTCACAAGGCTGCCCTATTCTGACTTTCATTACTTTTATAGATAAAGGTGGAGTACTTTCTTTCTCACCCAAAACTTTAACTCACCTTTTCATTACAAATACCTGGCCAAACAAAATGTCAAACCATATATATAGAGAGAGAATTTACTTGAATAGCCCCTACATCAAAGTGCTGTTTTCTTAGAAGCTCGGAAATGTTAATATGTATCAGTTTGCAAAAATATCTTTAATGGCAAAGGCATTGCCTTTGAGAGGGATAGCCCATGTTTGGAAAGGATAAAAGGATATTTTTTCTCTCTAAGAAAGCAGAAGAGAGATGCAATATAAAGGGGATACATTTAGCAGAAATATTGCTTATAAGGCAAATTAATATAAACTCAAAGAAGCACATTCTTAAAGAGGACTCAGGGTCAAAAATGTAATGCAAAAAAGGAAAAATAATCTGAAAGAAAAGTTTCATGGGTGTGAAATCAACGGAGCAAGAAGAAAAATTGTTCAGAGGGCAATTGCCATTACTTGAGAGATCATAGTTAGGAAGCAGCAGGCTATTGGGATGGTATTGTTCAGCTTCATTAATGGATGCATATGATTCCCGGAAAAAGAAAGGTTCTAAAATTAGGAGAGTGCTGTGGGTTTAAAGTGGAATCCTCATTAAGAGCAGGAGTTGTCCTGTGTTGTTTATCTAGTGCAAGGGCAGAGAGCTTTCAGGGCTCTTTCCACCCAGTCTGGGTGTTAAAACCAAGCAGTTGACCTTTAAGAAGCTAAATGATTCAAAATTTCCATAAAGGTTTTTTCATTGTTGTTGCTCCTTTGTTATCCCAGCAAAATGCTTTAGGATAACACAGCTACTTCCAGTTTGTTTATGCCACTCAGGAGATAAACAAGTATCCCTTAGTTTTTCCCTTCCTTAGTCTGAAGTGCAAATTTTAGGTAAACAGGGATCCTCAAAGCACATGGAAAGTTTTCACTGAGAAAGACCCCTCTAGGAAGAGTTAGGGTTCCAGGATGATGATGATGATGATGATGATGATTATATAATAATAATAATAATACCTCCCATGACATCTATATTCTCCCTTACGTGACAGGAATTTTCAAGGTAGATATGTAGATTGAAAAGGGACCTATTTATTCATTTAACAAATATCAAGGAAAGGGGCATTTGGGAGGAAAATGGACATTGGATCTATGGAATTTTGTTTGTTTCTTTGAGGGAAAATTGCCTTAAGATTGGTTCATGAGATCAGTAATACTTCTGCTTCAAAGTGACTATAGAAATTGAGTGATTATGGCTGCTGGGAAGGGGAGATGTCTTATTCTCTCTAATAGTTAAACATTAAGTGGGGATGTTTGCCCTCATATTTTCACACCTGCTATTTGGTCTGCTCACTTCTGATTTTTCACCCATGTAGTCCATCCAACACAAGGCTATCACATTTTGTCCCCAAGATACAGATCCGATTATACAAACAAACAAAAATAATTACAAAAGTCCAACACCTTAAGTGACTACTTATGGCTTATATAGTAAAGTATATATTTTTAAAACCAGGCTTCAAAGACTTCCACCAACGAATCTCAGTCCTACTTTTTGAAATAATGTCTCATTCTTCCTTATCATTTTCTATGATTTTAGCCTATGCCCTATTGCCAAATGTCTCTACTTATTTCCACCTCCGTGCTTCTCATATTCTCTTCTTGAAAGGAAATGATTTTATCCAACTCCACATATCTACATCCCATCCAGCTCAAAATGTCATGTGCTTTGGTCAGCAATTCTTTCATATCCCAACAGCTAAAGTAAACTTTCCCTCTTTGAAACCCGCATTCTACTATATCTTGACAAGTTATCAATCTCTACCGGTAGTGTCATTATATATGTGTTACCACTATTTTTCCACTCATTCACAGATATCATTATATATATATAATGATATCTTTGTAGCAGCAAGCTTTCAAAGCATTGCTAGGAGGGAGTCTGTAGTAAGAGCATATCAATCTTTTTACAGTGTCAACCCAAGCTGATCTTTCACTATTTAATGTTCTGTTAGCACCTAGAACTATGCAGTATATTATACAACTGGTTATATCATACTAGCATGGAATCATGTACTATTTGTATTGATCAGTGCCTTTATTTGTTTTCTAAATACAGAATTGTATAGTACAAAAGTGGGCATCTTTAAAGTCAGAGAGATTTAGATTTGAAATTAACTCCGACTTAAAACAGCTCTATATACTCGGGCAAACTATCAACCACCTTAGAGCCTTAGTTTATTTCTAAAATAGGGATAAAACGACCTCTATTACAATATATTTGTGAAGATTAAATGGAAAGATTTATATTAAGCACCTTGAACATAGAAAGCATTAGGATGAATTCCAGCTTTTTTCTTTTGCTATAACATCTCACGAGCTACACTGTTTCTTCTTAAAAAGAACATCCTGTACCTCACTTTCTAAGTATCCTCTCAAGTGTATAGCAGAGTTGAAGGTGGTATGCAACTAATGTCACTGACTAAAGTGGTATAAACAAGGATAGAAACGGTTTTACACAGTTTTCAACATTGTATCTAAAATGAGAAATCATTCTGCAATGGCTAGAATGCAGGTCAAACAGTCTGATATCTGATTCTAGATCTACAAGATGTTACTTACTAGTAGTGTGACTTTGAGACAGGTCCTGTACTTCTTTGATTCTCCATTTCTTCACCTGCAAAAATGAGGACATTGGACTAGATCCATGATTTCTGATTTCATTAACATTTTACAATTTATTGGTTTATATATCCTGTGAATAAAATTTTATGGAAGTGACAAAAATGGAAGCATTAAAAGCAGAGTACTCTGGATGATACAAAGAAAAAATTTAGGACTTCCACCTTTTAGTCTCTTCCTATAGGCTAGACTAAGTCTGGCTTAACTCTAGTCAAGGATTTACAGAGGGTACATGAAGAATTTTGATAGCTAATCAGTCAATTCAGGCCTACTCAGAATGTATGTATAAAAAATTACACTATCCATTCATCCGTTGAGGAACATTTAGGTTGTTTCCATATTTTTGCTTGTGAAAAATGCAGATATCTCTTCAAGATACTGGTTTCAAATCCTTTGGATATACATCCAAAAGTGGGATTGCTGGATCATAAGGTAGTTCCATTTTTTGAGTAACTTCCATGTTTTCTATAATTGATGTGCCAATTTACATTCCCAAACGTCTCTTTACTGATGAATGGATAAAAAATGTGATTACACACACATACATGTGCATGTGTGCGCACACAGAGGAACATAAGTCAGCCTTAAAAAAGGAGAAAATCTTGCATTTGTTGCAAAATGGATGAACCTGATGACATTAGCTCAGTGAAATAAGCTAAATACTGCATGGAATCAAAAATGTTAAATTCATAGAGACAGAGAACAGAATGGTGGTTATCAGGGAGTGGGATATGGGAGATGCTGGTCCAGGGATACACAGTTTTAGTTATGCAATTTAAATAACTTTTGGAGATCTAATATACACCAATGTGACTATAGTTAACAATACTGTATTATAAACTTGAAATTAGCTGAAAGGGTAGATCTTAAGTGTTCTCAACACACACACACACACACACACACACACTATATAAGGTGTTGGATTTGTTAACCAGCTTGATGTGGTGAATATTTCACAGTGTACACATATATCAAATAATCAAGCTGTACACCTTAAGTATATATAACTTTTAATTGTCAAAAATTAGGTCAGGTGGCCTTTTTAATTTTGGGGTGGAGAGGGGAAAAAATGCCAAACTTTAAACCACTCTTTATATCTACTGAATATTTCCTAAGGATTCTTTGAAGCTACAAAAGTTATTTTACCAAGCATGCTCAGTACATTATCTAATTAGCTGAAAATTCCAAAGTGAAATTTCACAACTCTAATGCTTAAATAAGTTAAATAAATAACATGTATTGGCTTATACAAGGTAATACAGCTAACAAATGTGTGATCAGATATTGATGTTTTGTGTTTTAAAGACCATACTGGATACAAAACTCATGTGGATAAGCTGTCTCTGCACTTTCGATATCACTTAGAGTGTTTGAAGTTGACCACAATATCATAGAATGGTGTACAAAAATTGTGCCAGAAATCATGCAAGAAATTAAACATGTGCTTTGGAGTCAGAAAGATGGTTTTAACATTTTAACATTATAGTTCTGAGAAATGTACTTAAAGTCTTCAAGCTGCAGCTTATCTGTAAAATGCAAATCACAATATTGATCTTCTTTGTTTTTGCCTGTGTGTTTTGTGATTATTAAGTAATATTCGCTATAAGAAAGCACTAGTTCATAGTAAGTGTCAATGAATATAAGTTCCTTTTTATTTCTCCTTTTAATAATTCCACACATATAGTAAACATTGTTTGGCATAGTGTAAAGCAATGTCAGCAACTCAACTTTTTAATGGTTTCTTTCACAGTGGTTTCTAACTTTCTAACCTTTTGGAGCTGTTAAAATAAAGTCAAATAATGATACTGCTGTGGCGTAAGTGTATGCTAGGATCAATAAATTGTGGTTGTTGGAATAAATTGCAATTAAAGGGGTAGTACTTGATTGCTTGACAGTAGGTAGTCTTTCTGGCCCAAATAAACTCAAGTATTAGTCTGATTTACAAGCTAATTAGTATGGACTTCACATGCATTTCACTGGGAGACCATCAGATCATATTGACTTCTGTTCCCATCATGAGTGTGCCCTTGAAGTTGTTTTCTGTCACTTACAGGTGACAAGTCCTCTTTACTTGTTTACTTTGTTTATTCAAGAATATAGGCATCATTTTTAATCAAGTAGAATATATAAGAAATTTACACTGTTTGCAAATTAACACTTAAACATCTAAAAGCTTCATTATTGGCACTGGCCTTTTTTTTTTTCTCCTTATTTCTGTACATTTAAAATGAAAATATGCATGCATTCAGAAATGACAAAGGCATCAACATAGTAAGAAGGATGATTATTACTAAATCCTTGAAGCAATAGAAAAATACATATAAGCATTAATTTATAGGCTAGAAAACCATACGATAGGTATTTCAAGACAAAATATTTGAATAATACATAAAAAGACACAAATTTTGTCTCCAAATAAAGATAAATGCTTATCTAAAGTATAATTTTGTTTATCCTTAATTTTCTATTCAGTGCAGTATTTTATATGATAAATTCCAACATATGCCTGTATAATTATCTACTGAATACAAGGCATTCATAGACTGAAACAAAGTAATTTAAGCAATCCTTTGTTTTGTAAATTGCATTAAGGTATACCATGTATTTTCCTCTACTACCCATCTACCTACTACTGCATTTCCTGCTAGAGATTTAATACATTTTTGTTGAATAAAAAAAATGACAAAAGTGCAATTCCTCAAAAGGCACAAAGATACATATGGTATGACTGTTTTAAAATTAAGCATCTTTTCCATTTAAATAGCTCTACCCCACACCTCTCGTAAATACCACATTAGAAAAAAAAAACAAACAAAAGTCAGAAACATATGAAAAAATCCCTGGTGCCATGTCTTCTCTGTTGTCATATTTATGTGAGGTTACTAGTGTTAACACCCAGTAAATCTCACATCATACTTATTATACTTCTGTTATTTAATTTTCTTTTTCTGAGCCTCATTTTCCTTTCCCAACCTTTCTTTGAAAGGAAGCTTTGCAAAGGCTAAAGAAAAAAGACTAATCTATTTGTACATTGATGAATTTTAATCACCTACCAGAGTTTCTGACTCATACGTGTTCAATAATTATTTTTTTGCAGGCGCCTGGGTGGCTCCAGTTGGTTAAGCGACTGCCTTCGGCTCAGGTCATGATCCTGGAGTCTCTGGATCGAGTCCCACATTGGGCTCCCTGCTCAGCAGGGAGTCTGCTTCTCTCTCTGACCTTCCCCCCTCTCATGCTCTCTCTCTCTCAAATAAATAAATAAAATCTTTAAAAAAATAATTATTTTTTTGCATAAGGAAACTCATCACAAATATTATCAATTATAAATCATTAGAATACATTTCTGACATCAATTTACACATGAAAATATATTTTGCTAATTTTGAGTAATCTTTAAGTATCTTTTATGTCTGACAATGTACAACTATATTAAATTTATTTTTTTAAGTTTTTTCCATTTTTTCCATTTTTTTAAAAAAGATTTTATTTATTTATTTGAGAGAGAGAGAGCGCGCACAAGCAGGGGGGAGGGGCAGAGGGAGAAGCAGGCTCCCCGCTGAGCAGGGAGCCTGATGCAGGACTTGACCCCAGGGTTCAATTTAAATTCAATTAATTATCACATGATATATTATTGGAAACTATATTTAAGAAATTATACAAAAACTACATATTAAACCTTAGAATCAATGGTAGTATTTTAATTAGCAATAATCGTGCCTCAGATAAACCTCATTGGCTACCATAGTGCCACTGCGCAAAGCTCAATGATAGTATTTTAAAGAACAAAATAGTATTAACCTAAGATCAAAATGCTGAAATATAAATAAAATCTTTAAAAAAAAAATTTAATAAATAAAATCTTTAAAAAATAAAAAAAAAAATTTAAAAAGGGCGCCTGGGTGGCTCAGTTGGTTAAGCGACTGCCTTCGGCTCAGGTCATGATCCTGGAGTCCCGGGATCGAGTCCCGCATCAGGCTCCCTGCTCGGCAGGGAGTCTGCTTCTCCCTCTGACCCTCCTCCCTCTCATGCTCTCTGTCTTTCTCAAATAAATAAAAAAAAATATTAAAAAAAAAAATGCTGAAATAAATATTTCAATGGATTTCAAAGAAGTCCATGAACAAAATTATGAAAAGACAAATTAGAAACAAAATCCGTTCCCTAGCTCTTAGTTAATGTCATCCAAAACAAGAACTTGTGCTTCTTGAATGCAAAATATGTCTATTGACCTTGTTCTCCCCAGGATTTAACACAATACCTGGCTCATTGTGAGGACTAAATTTGTGTTTTAAATGCATTCATGAATCAATCAATTGTCTGATTCAGAATGTCTAAGAATAGCAGAACAGTGTATAAAATACCTGGAAAACAAACTAAAGACTGGAAAAATATAAAAATGTATATTAGAGTAATTTAACTAAGATGGCATAGGCTATATATGCTATAGTTTTACAAGATTTGGTATTATTCTAAACTGCAAGTGATATTAGAATTCCAGAAAAATAAAATACATCTGAGTATGTAGGTTTAAAACAAATTCTATTATCTTTTTCCATTGTAAGCTCAGGGTCATAACATTAGAGTTGGAGAAATTATCTGAGAGCATCTTTTCCCCCTGTGTGTAGACTGACTGGTGAGGAGGATGGTGGGAGAATCCTGCTTTCCTGTGCGTGGGTTACATTCACTGGAATCAATAGTAGAAAAGGAGGTACAGATGTGGATCTGAAAATGAGAGGTACTTGTAATTCCACAGAATGTGTGTTCCTACATAGTTCCTGCTCAACTCTGATCTTGAGTCTGTCCATCTGTCTGATCTGATTATCAATTTGTGTGAAATCTTGTTATGGTTATAATTTTATGTGCTGCACAATTGTGATGTTGTTAAGATAAAGCAAATGTTTAAATACTTATAATTGCCAGGTGGCCAAATCCTAGGCCATGGGGAGAAGATAATTCTCTCTCTCCTCACTATAACACATACCCACCCTACCAGTCTCC